TATATATATATATATATATATATATATATATATATATATATATATATATATATATATATATATATATATATATATATATATATATATTATATTTATTTATACCATGAGGATCTCGCCCACCTCTTCCTCTCCTAAATTCACAATTTTTAACAAGACTTCATACGGTAGATTTTCCACCTAAGATTTAAAAAGAAAAAATAGCTAAATCACGGATGAACCAATGAGCGATTTTAACTTTTAAACTATCTCTCTCTCTCACTGAGCTATACCCTGGTTACTCTGTAGGTAAACCCCCCTACCCCATCATCTTACTCTCTCTCCTCTTCCATACCCGCTCACCTTTCTGCCTCGTCTCTCCCTGACCTTTCCTCTTATACTATTATCCCTTCTGTGTATGAACCTCTGTCCTGCGTGGCAGTGAACAGTGATACCACCCTCAGTGTCAACACCTGAATGAATTACTCAGAATAGACAAACTGTACTCCAAGCTTTGTCAATAAATTTATTAACCGTAACCATCCTCTTTTCCTACCCCCATCACCTCCTCTCCCCTCCCACTCACCTCTCCGCTTTCTTTCTTCCACCGTCACCTGTCCCTCACTTCACTTCTTCACCTCACCCCTCCCTCCCTCACGCCTACCCTCTTTCCATCTCCCCTGTTATCTTTTTTTCCCCGTTTCCCCCGTCCCTCCAAGCTCTTCATTTACCTGTACCTCTCTCCTCTTAGTCCAGCTCCTTTGCCCCTCATTCCATCTTTCGTCCTAGTTCCCCCCCCTCCCCTTCATATCTTCACTCTGTCCTTCCTTCCTTCCACCTTTTGCCTCACTCCCCCTTTCCTTCCTCCTGCCTTCTTTCCTCAGCCTTCCTTCCCCTCCTGCCTTTCTTAGCCCCTTCCTTCCCCCTGCCTTCCTTCCCCCCTGCCTCCCTTACCTCCAGCCTTCCTTCTCCCTGCCTTCCTTCTTTCCCTCCTGCCTACCTTCCTTCCCACCTGCCTTCCTTCCCTCCTCCCTCCCCCCTTAACTTCAGTATGGGAACAAGTCCTTAAGATTGCTGGATAGTTTATACCCAGTCTTCCACCTGTCTTGAGGGCGGATGGGATAATGTGTCGGATGTCAGGTGTTGTGGTGGGTGAGACAGCAGAGGCATTTACCCACTCGTTCTCCTGCTGGGTTGAAGGTTGCCTTGGGCTTCTCGTCCTGCTGGAGGGAGGGATAACTTCTTCCCCTTCGCCATCCGGGAGTTCAAACCCGTCTTAGATTCACGACTGGGTATATCATTTCGACGCAGATGTGATGATACGCCATATCTCTGATGAAACTCCAGCCGTCATGGAGAAACGACGTCTTCACATTTGATTTGAAAGTAGCGATGGTTCTGCTGTTTCCTAAGTCAGGGAAGAATCACACTGAGGTATTGAATTATCGTTCTCCATAGCTTCGACTTCATGACTGTGCAGTATATGTTGCTTGAGCAGATGGAACCACGTGTTTTGGTTGGGTTTGGTTCCCGGAGCGTGGGGGTTGTGGTTTGGCCTGGGTGGGGGAGGGTTGTGGTGTGGCCTGGGGGGGGGATATGTTTACTGTCTGGTTTGGTCTTGAGAGGACACATGGTAAGGCTTGGTTTCTCACTACCTCCACGAGTTTGGGTTACGAGGGAAGGATGGCTTACTACGTGTCACTGTGCGCCGGATGTCCTCCCTTTCTCCCTCCCACTACCCTCCTACCTCTCCCTCTTCCACTCCCTCCTTTCTCCTCCTACCACTCCTCCCACCACCCTCCCTACCTCTCCTCTTCCCACCTCCCTCACTACACCCTCCCTACCACCTCTCCCCTTCTACTCTCTCTTCTCCTCTACCCCTCCCTCCTCCCTCTTCTACCTCCTACCTCTCCCTCTTCCCACCCTCCTCTCCCTCCACTACCCTCCCTACCTCTCCCTCTTCCCTCCCACTCTCCTCTACTACCCTCCCTACCTCCCCTCTTCCCTACCCTCCCTACCTCTCCCTCTTCCCACTACCCTCCCTACCTCCTCTTCCCACTACCCTCCTACCCTCCTCCCTCTTCCCTTCCCACTACCTCTCCCTCTTCCCACTCCCCCCTACCCCCCTTCCCACTACCCTCCCACCCTCCCCCTCCCCTCTCCCACTACCTCTCCCTACCCTCCCCACCCCTCCCTCTCCCCCCCACCACTCCCCTCCCCACCCTCCTACCTCCTCCCCACCCTCCCTACCTCCTCCCTCCTTCCTACCATCACTCATTATCTTCTACTCCCTTTCCTCCCACTACTCCTCCCTCCCTACCATCACACCCATTCTCCCTTCCTCCCTCCCTCCCTCCCCCTACCATCCCTATCACCACCCATTCTCCCTTCCTCCCCTCCCCTCCCTCCCACCATCCACCATTCCCTTCCCTCCCTCCTCCCTACATCACCCATTCTCCCTTCCCCCCCCTCCCCACCATCACCACCCATTCTCCCTTCCCTCCCCTCCCTCCCTCCTCCCTCCACCATCACCACCCATTCTCCTTCCCTCCTCCCCCTCCCTCCCTCCACCACCCATTCTCCCCTCCCTCACCTTCTCCCTACTCCCTCCCTCCTCCTCCCACCACCCATTCTCCTTCTCCCCCTCCCTCCCTCCCTCACCATCCACACCCATTCTCCCTTCCCTCCCCCCTCCCTCCCTCCCTACCATCACACCACCCATTCTCCTTCCTCCTCCTCCCTCCTCCCTACCATCACCACCCATTCTCCTTCCCTCCTTCCCTCCCCTCCCTCCTACCATCACCACCCATTCTCCCTTCCTCTCCTCCCTCCCTCCCTCCTCCCTCCCTCATCCCCTCATCATCACACCCATTCTCCCTTCCTCCCCCTCCCCCCTACCATCCACCCATTCTCCTTCCCTCCCCTCCCTCCCTACCATCACCACCCATTCTCCCTTCCCTCCCAACACCCCCCTCCCACGCAGATGAGCCAGGGGCCACTTAATTTCAGGTGCGTTACGTCCTACCTTTGTTGCAACAGGTGACTAGACTAAGGTTAGGAAAATCGATGCATTTAAAGGAGATGAAACATGCACAAGGAAGGAATCAATTCTCTGTACACGGAGCTGAAGCCACTTGGTTATTTACCCACAACTGCGGTTATATGAGTTTACATTCTCTACTGTACTCAACTTTACTCTAATCAACTCTACTTTACTTTACTCTACTCTACTCTAAATATTAAGGGAGTATTAATAGCAGCAGTGGTAGTCGTTGTTGCTATACTGGCATGAGGAATATTTATATAAGAATGTCCTGTTGTATAAGTGTAAAGAAAAACAGTGGTGGTAGTAGCTGTAGCTGAAGTAGATGGTGCAGCAGTAGTGGGAGTAGTAGTAGTAGTAAGTACACAGCATTAGTCGTAGTCGCAGTGATTGTATTGAAACTGGTGATAGTAGCAACAGCAGTACCCACGCAGGTGAGGCTGGAGGGAAGTGGTAATTAGCGAGACAAAAACCACATCACCTACGGCTACAGCCCGGCCAGGTCACACGGCCGTGGTAACCTCCTTCATCCTTTCTCCCAGGTGACGCCCCAGGGACTAAGAACAGTTATGAAATTAATTATTGTAATTATTATTATCATTATTATTATTTTTATTATATTATTATTATTAAAATTGTTGTTATTTGTATTTTCTTAGTTATCATCATCATTATCATTGTTAATACTAAATGTACAATCAGATATCAGAGAATGTTTAGTTGCTCTCGGAAGACTAGTTGACGCCGACAGACTAACATAGACGCTATTGTTGCCATAAAGTACTCGTATATTATTTATTACCAGGGCAGGGTACAGGCCGATACACTTGCATCTCAAAAATCCTGACTGATGCAAAGGTATTATATGTATCCGTCAAATAATTGACCTATAGGTAACGAAATATTTTTTTTTCTTTTTTCTAATGATAAGTTCAGACCAAAACAAGACGGTTTTCATCTATGACGCTTTTGGTGCAATTTACTTATAACCGAGATATTGGGTGAAAATCATAATACTCCAATAAAAGCTTCCGTATTATTACATTTGTTGTCACCAACCGAATTTCGATATTTTTCTAAGCAAACAAGAGTTGAGATAATTTTAAGTCACCTTTCTTCCATAACGTTTCCCTCACAAACGACCTACAACCGAGATGGCGGGTCCAGGAGGTGGAGCTTAACGGTGAGGCCAGATTAGGGAGGTTTGGTTTGTGTTATCAACCCTGTATCTCGGTTATGGGTAAATTTAGAGAAAAGTGTCATAGAATAAATTCGTCTTGTTTTTGTCTGAACTTATCATTAAAAACAACAACAAAAAACTATGGAATTATGTCCTCTACTATAAATTAAGCGTCTGGACAGTAGTGTTCGCATAGTAGGAGACTCAACTTAGGTCACCTAGAGAAAACTTTATCAGTAACGTGGACATAAAGGAACCGAGAGAGGAAACAGATAAAGATATAATATTTGGGTCATTAAAATTAGATAATGACCCTAAATGGATGAATAATTAGAGAATATAAAGTAGATGAAGGTTTTACTGTATATAGAAGAATCCAACAGGCTAACGTTCACCTTCAAATTATTATAATGAATTAATCAGAAATGTAAAAAAAAAATACTAAAACAGAGACTATGAAGTTAATGTTAGGTTATGGTTAGGTTAGGTTACGTTACCTTTTCTCTAGGTTATTATTAATTTAATCTTGCCATTGGTGTATTGTCAACTAATAGGGAAATAACCAATTACTTGTCTCGTTAATATATGGAGAATCTTACAAAACTTGACATGTATAAATAATTATTGTATCCTTACGGCTTCGTTGTGTAATTCATGATCAGTGAAATGTTGTATTTTGTTTTATTTTGTAATGTTTCAGTATGTTGAGTTCACAAGCTTTTCTTAATAGGGTTCGATGGTTTGGAGGTTCATGGGTCTTCGATTATATGTCTCTGAGCTAATGTAAAGTTTATTCCACAG